TGCATTAAATGCACAATATATTTAGTTTGATTGTTGCATTAAATGCAGAATATATTTAGTTTTATAGTTGCATTAAATGCAGAATATATTTAGTTTTATTGTTGCATTAAATGCACAATATATTTAGTTTTATAGTTGCATTAAATGCACAATATATTTAGTTTTATAGTTGCATTAAATGCACAATATATTGAGTTTTATAGTTGCATTAAAGGCTGTGTTCTGTTTTTGTCAGTGTGAACCAGGCCCTGCAGCTTGAAAACAGAAAGCTTCAGTCAGACTTGGACAAGCTGAGGGCAGAGGATCAAAACAAAGAACATAAATTACAGAATCTTCAGTAAGTTGGTCCTCTTTGTTTTTTGTTGTCCTCACGTGTCACTGCAACCTTTCTACAAAAAAAACAAACAACTTTTTTTTATCCCTTCCACTTGTTTTTATTCAGATCATCAAAATGCATTGAATGGAAACTGAGGGTTATATAAAACTGATTACATTTGATAATTTTTAATCATCTGAGCTTCAGTTGGATCTCTTGAATAGTTTGTTTTCTTGTCACCAGCTGGAGATTTAACTCCACCTGATGGTCTACAGACCAACCAACCCAGACTTCAATAAAAATCCACAGTAGATAAAAAGTTGCTGTTGCTGCTCATCCCCCTCTCAGCTTCTGCTCATCACGCTGCTCGTGTGCTTTTAGGTTCCTGAATGAGAAGAGAGAACAAGCCAAGGAGGACCTGAAGGGCCTGGAGGAGACTGTGGTAGGAGTTTGAGTTCTATTCGTGTTGATTGAAATGATTTGAAGTTCATCGATCTGAGAAAGATCTTGTTTTTATTCAACAGACCAAAGAGCTGCAGACATTGACCAACCTTCGTAAAATTTTCATCCAAGAACTCAGCTCTCGAGTCAAAAATGTAAGAAAGAAAAAATAATTATGAACGGTCACATGAATACGTCCTCACAACACGTTCACGTGGTCACGTGACCCATGAACGTCATATTTCATGTCGGGTTTATTTAGAAAGGGTCGTGTTTTAAGTGACAACAAATACTGTAAATAACAACATTTATAGCCAAGATTTATTTGCAGATATTTGCAGTACGCATTCCCAGATGGAATGTAGCTCAGGAAACCCAAAATAGGATTAATCAGAAAAGAAAGTCTTCAGCCTGGTCTTAAAGTAGACAAAGTGTCCGCTTCAAGGACAGAAACTGGAGGAGAGGAGCCTGATAACAGAAAGTTCTGCTTCCCGTTCTGCTTTAGAAACTATAGGAACCACAAGTAAACCTGCAGTCTGAGACTGCAGTGCTCTGAGGAAAATACGAAACAATATTTTTAATGTAAGAAGGAACTTTTAGTTGATGAAGAACATTATCAGATGCTTGTTTGACTCAGTGATGTTTGGAGGACTTTGAGGTCTCATGCAGCCGGTCAGACATTTTTTTTCTGAGAAACAGTCATTTTTTAATTGATTTATTTACTTTATTATACTATACTTACTTAATTTACTATACTATATTTACTTTGTTAACTATACTACACTATACTATACTTACTTACTATACTATACTTACATACTATACTATACTATACTATACTATACTATACTATACTATACTATATTTACTTTACTATACTATATAGTACTTTACTGTACTTACTTACTTTACTTACTATAATATATTTACTTTACTATACTTACTTACTATACTATACTTACTTACTA